CAACAACAACAACCACAACAACTACAACTACAACAACTACAACTACAACTACACAACAACTACAACTTCAACTAGAACTACAACTACAACAACTACAACAACAACAACAGCAACAACAACAACAACTACTACTACAACTACAACTACAACTACACAACAACTACAACTACAACAACTACAGCTACAACAACAACTACTACTACTACTACTGCTGCTACTACTACTACAGCAACAGCAACAGCAACAACAACAACAACTACAACTACAACAACTACAACAACAACTACTACTACTACTACAACTACACTACACTACGACTACAACCACACAACAACTACAGCTACAACAACAACAACTACTACAACAACTACAACTACAACTACAACTACAACTACTACAGTTGCAGTACATCACACTACATCCAGCAGTTGTGGGTGAGGTGACCACTGCAACCATTGCAACCATTCCAGAAACACAACTCCAACCACCTTTCGGTCAATCAGTGGATTCGCTCTGCCATCCGTGATTCACAACAACCAACGTCTCCTATAGGTTTCCTATTCTGAAACTTCCGCCACCGCCTTGTGCGGTACTACTGGTATGAGTGATTACCCCTATAATTTCCTACAGTTGTTGATTATTGTTTATTATTACTCCAGACCTTCAAGGACCAACAGAGCACTGGGGAAATTTCGCCAGTTGGCACCAGAGACCAAAGATCCGCAAGTACCCAGCCTTCAAACCAACAAGATCCGCTGCATCTGCTTCACCTTCCAGCCTCCGGGGCCACTTGATTTCTTGCTGAACGATGTGTCAAACATGGATCGTTTCAACTGCAAATATTGTAAATGGGCCAAAGGGTCAAAGGAAGCCATTGAATTGAATGTTTTTCATTCTTCGTGCTTCCTAGCCTACTCCCTTGTAGTAGCATCCTTAGCATCCACCCGGTCCGAAGGAAGTTGTCGCCCGATGTCGCCCGCAGGCCACCAAGCACAAGGCCTCGAGGCTCGTCTGCGAAGGATCCCTTCCATTTGCTCCACGACCTAGCGGCCACGGGCGGCAAAGCACGGCAAAGCACGGCTGGGGCGGGTCATGGCGGGTCGCCGGGCATCGGGCTGTTGCCTCCGGCAGCAAGGAGTCCCAAGTGGCCAAAGCATGGGACAAGCTGAGCAGGGCCTGCAGCAGGGTCTCTGCTGAATCTCAGAAGAGATTCAAAGATTGGGTATTTTGCAAGGCAAGGCAGCAGGGATCTTTTTAAGCTATTGAGAAGCCATCCTCATGAGTTCCTATCTCAAAAAGAATATGTCTCAAAAACATGTGTGCCCTTGCAAAGTGTTAGAAAAATCAATGCCACAAACAATTGATTCTTCCAGTAAGAATGACATGTATATCATGGACTTCCCAACGGCGCACCGTTTGCGGCACAAGAAGACAACCGCAGCACAAGTTACCACCCTGACCCTGTATATACGGTATGTCCTACAATGGCAATATGTTTAGTGGAAACATGATGCAGATGAAGATTGAGCTTTCCCCAATGCTTTTCAGACTCCAGATATCAAAAAGCATTGCTAGAGGGGGCAACTGACAAGAACCAACAACTTCAAGAATCTGCATGAAACTCACTGGCAAGCTGGTGGATGGGGGACTGGCAAGTCAGAATTTGACATTGAAACGGGGAAATATTTGACATCTCCTAATGAATTTTGATGAATTTTGGGTTGCCTGGGATGACTAATTCTGCTGCACTGCAGTTTCTTCTCCACAATAAGCAACTTGATGACTACAACCTACTACTCCAACATACTTGTGAATACCGGGTGCCTTCACGGAGACCTGCCTATCAACCTCAGTGCGCATAGAGTTGTGCCCCCTGGATCATATTTGTAGAAAGTGGCATTGTGATGCGTTTCCAAATCTGGCAAATGCATGTATTAATTGTGCTGTCCATTTTAGACTGGAAGGACTAGCCACAAACTTGGTCCAATGGTTCCAAGGTTCCTGCAACATCAGTCTGAGAAAGCCTCACAGGCTAGGACATCGTAAAATGCAGGAGATGCTGCACAGGTCAAATACCCAACTCCAACCTTGCAACGGCTCCTTGCAGCAAGTTCCTGCATGAAAGGCTGCAACCCACTTTCGGAAAGGGTGCGAAGGAAACGTCCGAAATGTTCAATGACACAACCACCAACAAGGGGCATGCTACTTGATAAGTCCATCAATATGATTTATATACTGTGCATATAATATATAATGATGAGAGAGAGAGAGAGAGCGAAAGAGATATGTTTGTGCAAAACAATGCAGATCAGTCAACAATGATAAGGATACTCGATGTATATATATATATATGGAGAGTTGGAGAGTTCAACATCACAAGCACCTCATGAGTTCTGAATCTTCAGATTGAAGCTCTCCAAAGGCTTGAGCTACCTTGGAGGCACAGGTTTGTCCAAAAATGGGATATACACCAAAATTGCCGTGTTTATGGAGAAATTGGACTAAAATTGGAGAACAGTACGTTCCAAACCATGAGATTTTGGGGTTTTCCATGTTTTCCCAACGGCTTTCTCCATTTGTTGTGACAAACATGTCAGCACCCAGCATGGCGAGCCTGGCGAGCTGAGCTTTGCACATTGGCCAGGCCTTGCACAGTGAAGGGGACTTCTTCCAGCGCCACATCCAGCTGCGGAGCCTGAAGTTTGACCTTTGCAAGAGTCTAAACCTGAGCAAGAACGGGCGATTCATGATCATACGCTTCTATATTTCCAAATTTTTCCAAATGCAGAACAGCATGTCCGCATCGCCATGGAAAGACCAACACTGAAAAGCAAAAACGAGCTTTGTCGCCATGGTATGCCATGGTCATGACACCAACTCAAGTCAATCAATCCTCGGTATTCTGGTGTCTTCCATGGAAAGTCTAAGCTAGCCACCAAATTGGCAATGCCCTGCTCCTTGGGCTGATCTCAACACAGAAACTCAGCATCTGGGATCCTTCCGAGATGTCCAAAGTGTCCCGAAACTTCAGCAGAATCTAACCTAGGGACCTAGTGTTGAAACTCAATCAACCATTAAGTCAATCATAACAACATATAACAACATCACAAAATTCTTGTATTTGCTTAAGACGGAAAAAATCCAAGTGGATTCCCCACATGATGGATCAACCAATGGCAAAATAGTAAATCACCTTCAGCACATCTAAGATACTCATCGTTGTATCATGATTCTGGTGAAATAAGGCCATTTCGGGATAGTTACCCCTTACATCCCCTTACATCCCCTTACTACTCACGGACCCCATCCACCCTTCCCGTAACACCCCTCCTGGTCTCGCAGGTCAGCCGTCGCCATCGCCCCGACCTTCCGGGCTGTGGCCTCAAAGAGGGGCACACTGCGCAGTTGCACCGTGGTGAAGGCCCAGCCTGAAGAACCAGGGCTGGAAAATGACCGGGATTTTTAAGGGGAAATATTGGAAAATACAGGACACATCATGGAAAGATATGCAAACATATGGGAAAAATCGAGAAATATGGGAAACATATGAGCTCCCGTCAAATTCCTTTACATCTGAGTAGTTGCTGTTATGGTTATCCCTTTTGGGGTGGGCCTATTTGCTTTCCAGGGTTTTGTGGAAATCAGATGAAATCAGCATGTTCGAGATCCAACATGAAGCCAAAACCCATTCCTAAACAGGCTCGGAAATGGATCGAGGAGTTGTTTTGTTGGTTTCAGGTGCTTCGGCAACACTTCATGTTCCTTTCACTTTGCATCTATTTGCATGCATCTTCCTTCATGTTCCTTTCATTTGCATGCATCTTCCTCTCAATTTGCATTAATTTTCTGTCATTTTCCTGTCATTTTCCTTTCATGTTCCTTTCATTTGTATTCATTTCCCTTAATGATCCTTCATGTTCCTTTCATTTTCATTCCAATCTGCATTCACATCCTTTCATCTTCCTTCCATTTGCATGCATGTTCCTTTCATTTTGCACTCATGTCCTTTCATGTCCTTTCTAAAGTTATGGACATGGCTCTATGGCTTGGCCAGCGGACCGAGTGCAATAAATGGTTATTGCTAAGGTTATCGCTATAAGAACCCCACCAACATATGACATTGTTCGAAGGAAATTGCCACAAAACGATACAGAGAGAGAGAGAGAGCGAGAGAGAGACGAGGAAATAAAGAAAAAGAGCGAGCGAGTTGGATGCCAAATGATATGGTAACTGCAGGAAAGAGGGCACCATAGGTTCCTCATCGGTTTTGCCCGTTCTGTGAATGTGCTTGTTTTACATAAAGTTTAATAGACTGTCGTGTATGGTCCCAGGTTATCGCTTTTGGGGGGGCCTATCGCTTTACAGTGTTTCATGCACATCTCTGACAAAAAACTCCTGCAATACTAAAGTGGTTTTCAATTGGTGTTCAACCATTTTGACCGTGACTAATATGGAAAAATGTGGAGAAACCCGGTATGGGAAAATATGGAAAGATATATGGAACAAGCCTGCACCAATGACATGTGTTAAATTGACGGGAAACATAATGCAGGGATATTAAAAATATGTCCAGTGATTTTTATGGGAAAATTATGAGGGAAAAGACACTGCACCAATTTCGAAATATCAACCTAAACTTGCCTTATAAAATCTAGAGCATGGAAATCAAGAGAATAAAATGATACACAAATATGTCATAATATGTCCAATATATTGTTGGGTGGGGTGGGGTCTTGGAAAAAAAAGTCAACTCGGGGATGGTTCAAGGAAGATAGTGTCCTACTTAGCTTCAAACACTGCTTTCAAAACCCTGGCTGCTGTGGACGCATACCTGGAAGCATGCAAGGGCAAAAGCTTCGGAAATCTTCGTCATACTGCAGTGCCACGTCAGTGCCCAGCTCTTGAAATCTGTATCGACTTGTTGAAAGTGTCTATAAATTCTATAAGCATGTTTACACCATTCCTATCTCATCTCCAGGTCAAGGCAAAACCTGCAGACCTTTTGGGCATCAGGCGCGTCCAAGCTTTAGTCCGCTCTTCGGATCGACCCAGGTCGTTTGACCCGGCAACTGTTCTGGAGGCGCTTGGGGGTTGTCGTAGTCGTACAAGATATTTCTCACAATTTCCAGGCGAGTGACCAGGCCATGTTCAGCTAAATATGCCATCTCATTATGCTCATTCTGCCTTGGATTTGCTCACGGGGTCCAGCAAAAAACCGACTATGTAATCCCAGGAAGCTAGTTTTCCCCTTTTTCTGCTTCGTACACAAAAACATGTTCAGCACATCCAAGATCATCCAAGATCATCCAAGTTGCATGATAAAGGTGCGGTAGAACAGATCTTGATCTCTTCGAGATCCACTGGAGACCACTGCATGGGATGCCAATGGCAGTCTCGAGGAAGGCCACGCTGATGCCCTGGAGCTGCAGGATCCGGAAGTTTCATACCTGCGAGGTTCGCACCAAGAGAAGGTACCAATGGATCTCACAACATTGGAAAACATGGGTCATGCTATATTACTAAATATTACTATATATTACTATATATTACCGGTACTATATATTACTATATATTAAAATTACTATATATTACTATATATTACTATATATATTACTATACAACTATAATATGTATAATTATCTTAAATATTATATAAATTATATAAATTATATAAATTACTGTACATATTATTACCGCTATATGCTATATCATTGTGTAGATGTGTGTAGTATATTGATTGAATTTCCTTGTTTAATATGTTTTTTCTTTTTGACACTTGACACGAATTGACCATCTATTTTTAGAAGCCCCGGAATTTTGAGCAGCTTTCCCAATCTTCCCCACCTCCTTCTCCAATTGGTCATTCCCGCATTGGGATAATGGAGAATCACCGCGTCATCACTCTTGTTCGCCTGGTAGACCTCCTGCAACATCAAGCCATTGTCTGCCAAATAGGAGTGCTTGCTGTTTGGGATGGGTGGCGGCAAATGTCGGTTCAACCTGACAATCATCTTGCCATCCTCATACGAAGAGAAACCGCAAAAGGTTTCAACCAAAGGACCCTTGGTAGGGACACCTTCCACAATGGGCCTATCTGCGCGCGAGCCCGGCAAGTTCAGCTTCAAACGCTTTGTTGCCTCTTGCCGTCGCAGGTAAATCTGACCAAAAAGGCGGTCCCACCAGGCCGTATCCTTGCTGCTAAGCTTGTGTATCTTTATGCAACCATCTAGAACGAAATATCGAAAAGGGCATTAAACATGCATAAACATGCTTACAAAATGCTGGCTGGACATCTGGCGGAGCATCTTGGTTCGGCGCTTCTGGCTCAAACTCACGGCCCTCTTTCGTCCGGAGGAGTGAATCATATTCACGCGGAGGATGAAAGCCATGGCAATGCTGCCGGTTCAGCTGGAAAAGTGTACATTCTCGGAACCAATCTCCGCATTCCGAGTCCTTGGCTTGGACTGAGCGACTGGAGCGGTCCTGGCCTTGAAGACCCTTTCTTGAATAGTAGTACTATAACCCATAGGATCCATGTATGGTATATATGCTAACATTGGGGATATATTGATGGTAAATGTTACCATATATAGCATACATGGATCCTATAGTAGTATTGCACTTCAATACAAGCGATGCATAGCATATCTTTTTTTCCCTTCATGCCAGTCATTACATGCTCTGAGGTGGGTGCCCCGCTTTGTTGGGGATCCTCTATTTCGAGACAAATCCAATGGAGGATGTTTTATTCGCGTTAATTTTTTAATCACCCCACAATTCCCCATAATTAGTAGTCTTAGTCTTGATGTATGCCATGTTATGCCACAATTACACTAGCTACGAGTACTAGTTAAACATAGTTAAACCATGTTAAACCATGTTAAACCATCATATATATATATATATTCATATATCATATTCTCCAAACATGTCCCATACTCTTGAGCTTGGCAGCTTCTGGCACCGCTTCATGATTCCAAAGCCTCACGGCTTCCACCGACCGCTCCTTGGAGCCAAAAAAGCGCCGGCTACTGCAGTCTTGCATCCTTGGGACGAAGATGCATTCATCAATGTCCTGGCTGCAAATGGGTGTGGTACCTCCAAGAACTCTGAGAATTTATGGGGGGTTGCATATCATGGGGATTTGTGATATCTGGGTCTGAGGATGATGAGGAACAGGTGGGAGCATATATATTTTTATGAATTTGCCCCTCATTTTCCGATACACCCACATGCTGTCATGGGGTCCCCATAATCTCATCATATACTCATTCATTTCCCAATAAACTTGCAACTTTTTTGGGGTTTACCGTTTACCTTTTTTTGGGAGGGGACTAGCCCAAATGTGTCGGTAAAACATTGTGCGACCAAGGCAGAATCCGGGTCATGAAGCAAAAGATCACATCTGGAATCATGGGATGGGGAAGGAAACGCTCTTGCTGCAGTCAGGAAACTAGAAAAGCAAACCAGTCGATGCCCATTTCATGGGCTTCCAGGATAGCCAAATCAGCGACGATCAGCTTACGAGCTGAGCGATCTGCTGGCTGCTTCTTGCAAACTCCCTCGTAGAAATCGTTCTTTTCCTGACTCGGGCAAGCATCAGCAGAATACATTAAAATAAGCTGATGGATAGGTCACAATGATTCACATCATGACATGTGGAATCATTTGGATCTACAACAAAGACTCGCAAACCCGGCAAAGCCTCCCGACGCAAACAATCCATCACAATCATGTCCAGGCCACATGTGATATTCCGAATCTGATGTCAGAATTCCCACGGACCAGAAAACGTGAGCTGGTGGTCAAGACTATTATGATACCAGGCTTGATCTTTAGGTGTCAGAAAACCGGAAAATATATGACCTCAACCCTCAAGCATCCTCAAGCTATCCATAGAATTGGTGGCCTTTCACTGTTGTTCACCCCTTATTTTTCTAGAAATACTTTAGAGGGCAGCAGATGGTCAGAAGATGTCAGAAGTTCATACAAGCATCCTGTCTCTGGTAGAACCGGCTTCTAGCCTTGGCAGCTTCCCACCAGCTCGCATCCATCCGATGAACTGACAGACCTGCACCTGCCATCTTCTTACTTTGAGCATAGTCTTCCAAGGACTTGGCATGGCGGATGCTTGGGTCATCTGGGTCATCAAAAAACAGGAAGACGTGATTCCAGCCAGTGACCCAGTGGTATCGAACAAAGCTATCAACCACTTCTTCAGAAACACCCTGCAACATACAGGCTACGGCCAGGCCATGCTTGTAAATATATGGCCAAACCTTCAAATTCTCTGGAGGATCTGCATCCAGCCACCTACCATAATCCAAGGGCACCTCGGAATCTGCAGGTGGCTTCAAGCCAATGGGTTTGATCCTCAGGTGCATCGTCTCCCAGCGCCCGGGGCGGGGATATTCCTTCACCGGCACCTTTTCCAAGACTTCTTCCCGGTCCTCCTCTGGATCATCCGTGAAGAGCGGCACATATGCCCTGCGATGTCCCGAAGAATCGTCAAAAGCTTCCGAGACGTGAAGTTCCAACCAGGTCCCGGCCTTCTGTAAGGACTGGCCCCTGACAAGATCACCATATTCTCGGCTACCAATGACCTTGCTGTTGTAGGTGGTTGATGAATAAAGCTTGCAATCCTCTGGGTCCACCACCCGAAAGAAGATACGTTCATCGTCATGATCTTCCTCGATGAGTGTCACGGGTTTCAATTTGTCCGCCTTGGCACGGTCCAGAAAGGAGTCCACCAAAGGCTCAAGAGCTTGGATGCCGGGGAAGTCCCGGTCACTTCGTTTGCACATTTCCTCCATCAACAGCTTTGCTTGAGCTTCCGAAACGCCCAGGTTCAAGCATGCTGTGACACCTCGAGTTCTGGCCTTGCTGAACTCGAAGGCTGGCACAAAGTGAACTGCAGCGCAAGCGTCGATCAAAGCACGCTTAAATTGGCCAAGGTTGAGTAAGGCTTCTGCTCTCGTACCTAAAAGGTCGCAAAGTTGTGAAGACCATTCAGAGCCACCTTCTCGAATGTCTCCTCGACCCTTAGGCCGAGCCTGTGTGTGGCAGTCAAAAGCCCTGTCTGCCATCACCAGAACCACTTTCCAGTGACCGCCCTTCGCAGCATTCTCCGCCTCTTGGAGGAAGTACCAGGAGCCATGCTGGCAACAATCTGACCATGAGGCGAATTTCAAAAGTTCTGGAATGGGCTCTTGCCCTTCAAAAGCTTTCCATCCAGCAGTGGGCACTTCCAGTTTCTCAGTCTTCACTCCATAAAGAGGGCGCCCACCCCGCCCAAGGACAAAGCCATGCTTCGCCTGACCGGTCTTGGAGTTGTGCGCTTCCCTTGAAATGATGCATTCACCAAATCGATTCTCATAAACATCATGATCCAACCACCGGCGACTGGCTGGCTTGTACACTCCGTCCGCATCGCCGGAGCCAGCATCTTTCACTAAAATGAAGACCTGAAATATCAGCAGAGAGACAAGCAAAACATCACATATAGCTGTCATATAGCTTAAACATGCTTAAACAGTAAGTATAGTGCGCATCCCTTTCAGCATGACAGCCTGGCACGGGAATGCGTTCGGCCTGCTTTACCAGAATCATCAATCATCAATATTAATGTACAGTAACCCCTAAAACTGTAAAAAGAACCATCATTTTTGTGGGATTTGACTTTCTATATGTTTGATTCTTTTTGGGGGTTGCTATATGTTTGCCATTGTTTGCCCATTGGATCTCATGCCAAGTCACCGGCTGGGCACGTTTCTGACCACCGCCCCCAGCCCAGCTGTTTCCGTGGGCCACACGGAAGTCCAAGCTGCCATTGATGCCGCTGACATCAGGGCCGTACCCAGTCATCCTACACTGAGTGCTACGTCTTGGGCACAAAACTGCGGATATCTGTGGATAGTGTTCATCTCTGTTTTTTGATGTCTGGTATTACCGCAATTGCTTGAAAATTGAATGCAATTGCTTCTCTATGCTGTATCATAAAGAAGATCTGTAACCACTTCTCAATATCCAGTGTTCCTGTGACAATAAATATGAGCAAAGACACCTTGAACTACAGACCTTGACAAAGGTAGCTCGGGCCATGGCCGATGTTCGATAGATTTTGGAAGCTGAGCTCTGGCATACCTGGACATTTAAAGCTATGAGATCTTTGTGTCACGATCTGTTGTCTTCATCTGATTTCATCTGCCCAACTCACAATTCACAGAAATGCAGGGTGAGTTGGATTCCCCAAGGGGACGTGCCGCAGCTGCAGCTGCGATTGCTTCAAACCTCAGGAAGAAAGCCACATCTAAATGTTGAGCAGCATATCCAGCGGGGTTGAGCAAATCACTGACCATCCTCACCATCACAGCATGACACCTATCATCCTGGAAGCCGAGGATCCAAGGCTTTCATGATGCTTCTCACTCCCCTGAGGTCCCCTGAGGTTCCCTGAGGTCCCCTGACAGGGTCTGATCAAAATGTGCTGAAGTCGCAAAACTCCACGCAACGTTGCTGAGACCTGGAGATCATCAGCGAACCACCGGAGCTGTTCATCTTAAAAGGTGCTAAAACTGCCAAACCTTATGGCGCTTAATGTTGGTATTGGATGGTATTGGTGAATATCTCCATCGCTATATCATCTGCATTCTCGTGCATTCTTGTGCCAAATGTTGCCAGATTATGATTATGGGGTAACACGGGATAGCATGTAATGACTAGCCAATGGTGCCGCATACGATGCCTTGTGCAGCCAATCTTTGGCACTTGGATCGCACACTCAGAGCCAAAGCTTCCATCCTCATGGCCGCCCAACAGAACGAAAAATCGGGATGCGAAAGCCTTGAAATTGATGTTCCAGCTGCTTAAAAAAGATTGGGACCATCCCGGCAGGGGTAGTTAATGCACAATAATAACAAATTATATTATAATATATATATATATATATATTATATATAGTATATTATATATTATATAAGTCATATAAGATGTATAAGGCACAAGGAGCTATTTTGGCGCGACAGCCCAGGGGGTTGACCCCTTGACAACTGGGAACCTGGGCGCTTCCCCTTGTACTCTCCACGACGCAAAGGCCTGGCGCTGTCACAGACTCTTGTCCCTTGTCAATTGGAGAGCTGGGAAGGCTACCGCAAAATCATGCAAAATCATGGGGTAGTTGTAGTCAAAGTGACTTTGTCATTACTTGAATCAACCATACTTCAAGCATCTTCAAGCCAAACACGGTTTTTGTGCGCAGAGACTTGAGGCATTGTTTGCATCTATCTGCAGAGGCCATCCACATTTTAAATGCAAATGGGGAAAAAGCATGAAGTTGGAGACATCCGTCCTTACGAATGACCCAAAAAGATCCAAAAAGTGAAGTTGGAGACCTGCTCCAACATGTCCAACACTCTGCTGCACAGCCTGTGTCAGTCACTTGGATGTATCGTCCTTACGATGCATGGGAGCTCCTGTGAGTATGGGATGCAGGAATGGTTCAAGCAACACTTCCCTGTGGCTTCCCTGTTTCCAGAATTTGGAGGCAAACGGCATCCGTCCTTACGAACGCCGCTCTACCATTGACTCCATGAATTGAAACCTTAACCCCATTCGCCAAAATGCAGGAGGAAAATGCGAAGACGTCGGTAGCCTCAGTGCTCAGAGTCTTAGGGTCCTTACCCTGAGAGCATCTTTGAGGACCTCAATGACGTCATGGTGCGATCCATTCTGATTTTCAGCTTCTGCGATGTCCAGAGCATTGTAACCTTGGAAGGTTTCGTCTGGATCAGCACCCTCCACTAGCAGCAGCTTCAAGAGACCAGGGTCACCTTTCATGGCTGCCAAATGGATAGCACAAAGAGGTTCCATCCGAACCCGGCTGCCCTCTGCAACCTCTCGTGGCTCGTTGATGCTTGGAAAGCCATACTTGTTCAAGTACCTCTCCACCAGCTCCTTCCGCAATTGTGCCAGCTTGTCTTCGAAGGATATCTCGTTGCAAGACAAGAGTGACGCATGTCTCAGCAGCGTTGCCCGTCCCATGGCTACGAGGCTCAAAGAAGTGCGCTTCAGCCCAGACCCAGGAAACTCTACTTCTCCCTTGGATTTCCAAGGGTGCTTGAGCCAAAAAAAGCAAATGAAGATGAATGAAGGCATTGAGGTTTTTTGAGCAATCCGTCTCAGGTGAACTCTCCAACACCTTTTGGTGCTCAAAGATGACATTCGCGTGCACACGGATCACACGGATCACACGGTCCCCGATGCTGAGCCCCATCACTCCATCCGCCCAGGAGCCGACCTGTGCCATGCTGGCCAAACTTCGCGCCTGGAATGTGGAGAGTTTTGGCCTCGGAACACAGTGGCTGACCCTATGCAGAGACAACTGCCGGGATCAAGGTGGCTGAGAGAGCAAAAAGCACAGTAGATCAAATGTAGCAATGCAAAAGTCGCTGACAGTGGTTGTGGTTTCGATGATCCTAACACTTCGGCCTTGGCTACGTGACAATAAGTTACAAATGTATATATATATATTAATACGAAAACATTGTTCTTCGAATTCAGGAATTGCAATACTCTGGCCAACAGTGATCAAAAGAGAAGACACCTTTAACCATTACATGCCACGGCATGTACTCATTATCAAGTTCTGCCAATCGGACTGCTTGCACCCACCATAGTTTGCTTGCAGCAAGCTGATCAAACTTGGGTCAACTTGGAGCTCTTGTGAAACGAAAACATGGGATGCAGCATAGAAACTTTGGCTGCACCACGCTTCTGCTGCACCGTATGCACGATTTGATGATGGCCAAAGATTGACAAACATTCATGTAATGAGTACTGAACTATGAACCATTATGAAACATCTTGCAACTATACTATAGAACTAAATAAACATGCAGAAACTGATGGATGATCATCCGGATTGATCAGGTCATTTCATGTAATTACAGTGTCATTTCAGGTCATTCATGTCATTGATCACGTTATTTCCATCATTTTGGGTGGTTGCTGCTTCATTTGGCCATGTCGAATCTTTGAACTGAGCTCCCTGAGACTCTGCACCAGCATGGGATCACGAGCTTGCAATCCGATGTTCCTCCGCATCTGATCCAACTCATCCGCAACCCTCCGTAGGGTCAATAAATGCTCACGTTTGAGCAGCTTGCACTCTTCAATGCCGGCCAGACCTGGACACCAAAGTAATCCAAAGTATGCAAATCGTGCTCGACTTCAATGCCAAAACAAACATATTGTTTAAAGCCAGCAAAACTGTGTCCTCAATTTAGCCCGGACACTTTTCTCCCTGGACATGCTTTCCAGCTCTCTTCGCTTCAATCGAGCTTGGTCCAACGTGCTTGCAGCGTCAAAGCGCTCCTTTAGAGCTTCTTGCCGCAGTTGAGTGAGTTCATCTTCCCATTGGCGATCCTGAGGGCGGGGTATGGTTCAGGGCAATTTTTTTGTGTCTTTGGGGGGAAAATGCAAACACGTCAGGCTGATATGATCTGAGAAATTAAGGAGTGGCCGGGCCAAATTCAACACCTTCGTATAGTCATGTACAGTCTGTGTAGCTGCCTGCAGGATGCAAACTTCACAGGAGGCATCGGGAGGCCAAAGGATTATATAAACGCGCAAAAGGCAAAAGGTAACAAAAGGACACAAAAGGACAGTGTTGCAAAACACACTGCAAGACTGCAAGCGCCCTCCAACTAATTACACCCCCAAAACGACCATCATGACCACATCGTCTCTGTAAATCCGAGCATCAAGCCGCTCGCGGGCCTTGTGCAAACCCAGCCTTGCAGCTCTTGCTTCTCCAACCAAGTGTTCTACTCGGTACGCCAAATCTGCTTGGGTTTCTTCCAGCCTGTCACTGCAAGAAACTGAGAGACTGAGAGATGGAATTAGGGAATATTAAGGATTAGGTCCCTATACACTTGTGCCCTGGGGATTTCAGCAACACTGCAGCCCAAACAAACTTTGCACTCCTCTGATATGGATCTGCTTGACCCCACCTGATCTACAGAGAATCTACAGCCAGGCCTCTGATTGAATGCCGTGATCCACATTTGGCAGCTTTGGTCCATCTCCTCCACCGTCCTCCATCGCTGATTGTCCATGTCAAGAATGGCCTTTCGAGCTTCTTCATGGCGCAACTTGTCTTTGTCCAAGGACTTTCGGTATTCTTGATCCGCCACAGCTGACAAATCCTCCACTTCCTCCTTGATGGCTTTCAAGGCCTCACTCCGTTCGACCGACTTTTGCAGCACCTCTTCTTCAATCTGAGATTGCTCTCGTTGCATCTCTGCTTCAATCTTCTCGACACTCTCATCAGTCGATTCCCTGACCCGTCTCACCTCAGTAAACATCAAACATATATCTATAATAAATAGCAAATGGATACAAATGGATCTTCAATAATCACCTCCCCCACGCACCAAAAAAAGTATCTTATAGGTTTTAACCCATTCATCCACCATAAAACGAGCATGTTTGTTGGTGTTATCACATGTGAATCCCCTTCAATCATCTTCAATCCCATTCTGGGCTTAGGTTTTGACCCATCATGACCCATCCCCACCTCGTCTTGCAGGTCCTTGATCCTCTCCGCATGTTGCTTCTGGAGCTCCACTCGTTGCGCTTCAAGATGCTGGGATTCGATGTCCGCGGCACGGCGGATGTGAAGCAGGAGGTCTTCCACCTGTGGCTGCGGATTCTCGTTGGTTGGAGGTGGATTCCCATGGATTATGATAATTTCCGTTAGATTATGGTATATGTATGGTATATGTATGTATATGTATGTATATGTATGTATATGTATGTATATGTATGTATATGTATGTATATGTATGTATATGTATATACCAACTCAATAATGATATGTAGGTTACTTACAGTAGGTTGATAAATGTTGATAATGCCCTATGGCCAATTGATCAGGGTCAACTGATGCTCACCTCACATTGGATCTCCTTCACCTTCTCAGCTGCCTCAAAGGCATAGCCTTCAGCCTCCATCAGGCTCCGGTCTTCGGTGTGCGGCTAGGCGGCTAGGCTGCGGGATTGAGATGGATTGAGTCAAAAGCACAGGACAGAAGTCCAACTTAGTCCAAAGAAATGCCAAGAAATTGACCACATGTTTTTTTTCCGGCTTTTCGGCTTAGTCCCAGGCGAAACCTAGGTGTGAAAACTGTCGGATGTTTCGTACAGTTATCACAAATATAATGCAAAAATCTGGTCTGTCATCAAGTTCCCATACGTTCTGCAAATCTGGTCTGAAAGCCATGCCAATGCCTGAAAACAAAGGGACTATAACGCCCACATGACATGAGACTTGACGACTCCTTGGAGCCACTCGTCAATGCCATCATCTTTTGGCAGCAATATCATACAGATTGTAGATAAATGTCTTAAATGTTGATAATGTCGTAAATTAAACGGTTTGAACCTCCAATTGGGATGATAGTTATACAGTATAGTATACAATAGTATACAGTTATACACTACTTGTCTTCACCTAGTCATAGTCAATCCACTTCCAGGAATTTCGACGTGTCACCGTGTCACCTAGTCAGTCTGAGGTTGGCTCGTTGCTGCCAGAAGAATTGCATCAACAAGCGGCTCACTCCTGGCTTAGGCGCACTATGGAACACCCGTTGGCTTGGCGCTGCCTAGACCTCTTTAATACGAAGTATGGAAAGCCTTATCAAACTACCAAAAATGATCAAACATTACTTTACTTTGAGTGATCCCCACGCTGGAAGTATATATGGTATAACTGTATATTATAATGTATTCTGGCATTCTATCTTACATTCTTTCTGGCATTCTATCTGGCATTCTTTCTGGCATTCTATCTGGCATTCTTTCTGGCATTCTATCTGGCATCTATTCTGACATTCTTTCTGGAATCTATTCTGGCATCAATCCGAGCCATCTTTTCAGGCATTCACTCTAGCATTCTATCTGGCATTCTATCTGACATTCTATTCGGCATTCTATCTGGCGTTCTATATCTGACATATATTCTGAAGTTCTGTTTGGCATTCTATCTGGCATTCTATCTGACATGTGTTCGGGCCCAGGCGCATTCCACAGTCTCCTGGGCTGGCGACATGGTGTTCGGGTCCAGGTGCGCTCCACAACATCCGGAGCTGGCAGAAGCAAGAGGCGGAGAAGGTGGACGAGGAGGAAGGAGGAGAACGAGGAGAAGAGGAAGGAGGAGTTGTACCTTTGTTAAAATCTAGAGTCTAGAGACACTCACCTGGCAGGTGGGGAACAAGTGCCATGTTTCGGTCTCATGGTGAATTTTGGGGGGTCTTCTTTGAAAGCTACAGTACGGGCTGAAGTGCAAAGCTCTCATGTTGCCTGTGCAGCCGATTGTGGTTCCATGCACTTTGGAGAAAACAAGTCTTCTGGTCTGCATTGACACATGACACATGACGAAAAAATATGAAAAAAAAGGATTTAGGAGGCTTAGTTTGTAAGCGTTCCTGTCGCTCCTCGTGGACAACTTGGCAAATCTTCAACTGGCACACAGTACACAGGAGAATGTTTTTCCCAATTCCCCCCAATATGACATGCTTCAAACAACATCCAGCAGTGATCAGCAGTGCTCATCACACAGCTTCGAACCAATGGAATCAGTGGGACTTGCCATCGAAGAACGCCAGAAGCCGTTTTTCGATTTTTTTTTCATGCAGGGCTCCAAAAACAGCAGCTGGCGTTCAGATCACCGTGATCACTGATGATCCTTGCAATTAATGGGGATCTATACTGCCCCATGGTACAACGCGCACCGTTTGTGCGGCTTGGCGTGCGACTTCGCCCAAAATTCCTGAGAGATTCCTGAGACCTAGAGCTGCAAATTCGCTACAAATGGCACCGTCTGCTGGAAGGTCGTCACTATGCACTCTTTTCGTTGCTGGGCTTGCCTTTGAGCAACACGGCCAAGGATTGTCCAGAGAGGAACCTGGGATTGTCTCGAATATGCAGCGTTCTCCAACAGAATCACTCGATTCGAATTCAATGATGACAAACAAATATATCATTATTATATTATATGACGTGTATATATATATATATATATGTGAATATTATTAGTATTATTATTATGTTATTATTAAGTTTTATTAGTATTATTAATATTATTATTATTAATTATATAACGTATAAACATATAATGTGTATATATATATATATACAACATATATATATATATACCATATATATATATACGTATATATATATATGTATATTATATAATACAGTGTATATATATACAGTGTATGTGTATATATATATATATCTTTCCCTCCCTTTCTCTCTTTCTCTGCATCGCCATCTCAGAAAGTTCAACATATGCTGAAGGTGAGCAGGTGGCCCAGCTTATAAACAACTAAGAGGGGGTCAGGTGCTGCCGTGATGCGTGCTTCATTGATGACTCCGCTGTCACTGGTGCATACCTCTTGCTCCTAGCGGCCAAGCTGTGCGAAAAGCAGTGCAATTTCCAGCACAGTGGCCATACAACTCCTGTGATATCATCTGCATAAAACTGCAACACACATATAATATTATATATATATATAACTATAACTATACATATAATAAATAGATAAATCACCGCATACATCCACATACTGTAAATCTATCCTATTTACTGCTATGTTCAGATGGAATTGAAGCCAAAGACCGCTGAAGCCGGAGCTGGGAGTTCAGTTGCGGCCCTGCCTTAGGGCTGAAGGCTTCCAAAGGTTGTCCTATTTTGGAGCGATCCACCCTCAAGGCGACCCAAACCTGGGCGACCGGGTGATCTTAGGTGACCCATGTGACCCTGTTGGCAAAGCACAACGCTTTGCAAAATCAGCTGCTATTTGTGTAACAATTTGCTGCAGCAGGCCCAGCTGTTCCCACAATCCCACAAATCCCACAACATATTATATCATCTCCCAAGTGTCATCGTCTTTGCCGAGCTTTCACTTGCGTCTGATGCAGCGAAGGCACGGCCGAATTGCACTTGAAACCACTTCCGAATGAAATTTGGAGAACCCGCTCCCCTCTCTGAAGGTCCTTGACACATTGGTGCAGAAACACAGTGCCACCGAATGCCAATGCTGTAGCACAGCGACACCTGTGATTTCAAAAATTGTACACCATTCTTCACTGGAAACGGCATCCAGGAATTTGCAGCGTTGCCTCATCTTGAGAACCAACGATTCAAAGCAAAGTCCCACCCCATGCACTGCCAGGAAACGCCGAATCGTTCTATCCAGTCTGTCTCGTACCAAATAGAAGAGGAAGATGTATTCCCCCAGTCGTGCAAAGTCTGCACTGACCTGGACAGCAGTTCTGAAAAAGGCATCGCCAACGATTTGGGTCACCTGAGTCACCTGAAAAAGTTTCAATAATAACATATTCACCATCTGCTCCATTATACACCAGTTATACAGTCATTATAAGTAACTCTGTATTATAATTATATATAAGTTATCATAATTATACGTTATAATATTATACACCATATTACCATTATATTGCATATATTTATAAGTTACTCTGCACCCTTTAGCTCGCCCCTCATTGCAGGCGAGCTACGGCCTGATCTGCCTGTCTGTCAGCTTCAGATTCTTCTGTACTCCTTCGATCACAGCACGACCACCTGCCATGCCCAGCGAGACCCCTGGCCACACGCTGCACATGTGGCAACCACCTGCCTGCGTGAATGCAAAAGTGATCAATACCTCGGCAGTCCAAAGTGCAAAGATATTCTTGTCATCTAAAATTGGCCGCTGAAGCTTAAAGACTAAACATGTGATAAAATCCCGTGTTTTCAAAGTTGTCAAGTGATTTCCGCACAGCACTTGGAATATCACAGACCAAATGCTGGCTGGTTGATATGTTGATGGGGTCCGAAATTCGCCAAGTTGCCTTTGCCAAAATTCGGTGTGTAGCCCTCTGGCACCGTGAGACCCTCTGCAAGCGGCCATCCCCTGCGAGCACCGTCAGACAAACAGCCATGACTTGACTGTGCAACGTCACCGGCCTCTGCTTCGCAACAGAGACCGTCTTCCCCCAAAAGTGGTTGCCTCATACAGGTTTGGCTGAAAATAGGATGCCCCAAAATTTGATGGTCGACATCCGGATACCACCAATTTTCAGACACACCCATCCTGGTTTCATCACGGTTTCATCTGTGACGCCAACTTCACTGGTTCCTCATTGCTTCCTATTGCCAAGGTGCAACTGCACATCTGAGTTTCTGACAAAGCACTTTGGCTTGCTCCCTCACTGGCAAGACATGAGGAGCCAGCTGCACCTCAGTGAAAATCCCAAGTTGAGAGTTCTTCCTATACAACCCCGCTGGAACACCTGATATACCTAAAGGACAACTGGATAGCCAACAAACCCCCAAGCCTAACACGCTACTAAACTGCAGAAGTGGAAAGAGTAGATTCCATCAGTCTTGAGCCTCGTGGGGGAAAGTAATTAATGTTCTTTTCAAGACGCATCTGCTTTGAGGGTCTTCATCTGTACATCTGAGAATGTCGCCGATCATGTTCGTAACAGCCCAAATCTTAACAAATTTGTCACCCGTGTTCCTAGTGCATGTTAGTGTAATACTTGAGTATTGCTTGAACGTACTAGCTAGTGATATAAAATTATTTGGTGTAACCGAACTGTAACCGAACTGTTATTAATTACCGCAATTACACAATTATGATAATTTATGCAATATCACATATAAAAGCTGATGCTTGCCAATACGAATAAAACATAATAAAACTCTGCCCTCGCCCTCCAGCTCTTCCCAATCTTCCCACATCCAGACTAGAGAACGAAGTTTTGGCGGAGAGCACGGCCCGCGACTTTCACAATGTCCTGAAAATCGGCTCATTTGGATGACAGCCAGCATCTAAACAGGCTCAATGGAGAGAACAAAATTCAGCCTGCCAGCCCCGGCAGAAAATATCAGACGATCATATTTGAGCTGTCCATAGCTGTCCTTTGATAGAGCAACACCACCTCAGGAGACCGAGAACTGCTTGACAGGGTTAACGTCAGCGGAGGCTGAAACGTTGAAACCCGTGACCCGTGACCCGTGACTGAGGTCTGAGCTATTTCCGCGTTCATCCTGTTTCTGGTAGACACAGTTGTAGGAATTATCATCCGAGAGGTGAGCACGAAAAGTGTACAGCAGTTTGTACCTTGCGCCATGGAATGCCCTGGGTGTGTGTGTCATATCCATTCATATCCTCCTTTCATAGCTTACATTAGCTTACCATGCAAACATTCCACATGCTTCCACATAGAAACACGTGATTGATCTTGAACGTATTGTAACAGGAGCATGCAGCATGCATGTAACATTCCATGAACTGCGAAACTTTTCTGAAAAGTTGCGCAGCCAACTCAGCCAACTGATGTATTTGTCTTGCCTGCATTTTATTGGCCCAAGCTGCTTAGCTTTCATCGAGTCCAGAAGTCTGCTAGAGAGAAGAAGCCCACATCCACCACATCGAAAGAGAGTATTCCTTGGAGTCTTGCAAGCCCGGCGCCCCTTTGGCGATGCAAAGAACCACGCGTAAGCTTTGTAAGGGCAACATATACCATAGATTACCATAGTAAAAGCACCTTCTAGTGTTCTTAAGAGTCTCCGATTAGAGGGAAGTTTATGTAACATGGAACATGTGCGCTGCAAAGCCCACGTTTGCCGGCATCGGATCCCGCATATCCTTTGACTGCTCAAATCCCTGCGTAGGGCTAGGATTTTTTTTTAACTATCCAAAATCTAAAACCCTCAAAGCTTAAACCCTAAAAGCTTAAACCCTAAATTAAAACCCTAAATCCTAAAAACCTAAAATCAAAATCGCTGCGTATAGCCAGTGTTTTCATTCATCCTTTGGTGACAAGTATATGATATTGTTTGGGTGTGTTATTTGGGTGCGGGCGAACGTGGGGTTTGGAGGGAACATGTGTAATATGTTTGGTGATGCTTTTTACGATGGTCTATGATGCTTCATGACTTTATGGCATGAAATTCGATCCTGGAACCAAGTTCAACCCATCTGCCGAATTCCAGCTCCATGCCAAGACACTGCAGCAGCATGGACTTATCATTGCCTTTGTACAAGTTCTGCGTGATGTTCCTGAGTAAAAATGGCAGCGCTAGTCGGCCTAAACAGGCCGTGTCATCCTGATCCTCCTCACTGAATTTTGCGGATCAAACATGTTTAACTGTTTATTTTTTTCTGAACTAAGTGCAACCCCCTGAAACTGCCTGAAAATCCTGTTGAAATTGATTTCCTATGCTGCTGGACCAGCAGAACAGCGACAGCTGCAGCCGTAGCACTCCATGGAGAGCACCAAAGCTCTGGAGCCAGGTCGATTTTCCAGAAGCTGCTTTGCCAAATCAACTGAAATTACCTCGTCATGAAATAATGATGTCAGTGTAGTGTGGCTCACCATACCAGAATTATTCGACTCCCAGCATGCCTCAACTCCATGTTGCCAGGCAATCTGAAGTGGTGCCCATTCAGATGGCATAATCTGCATAGTCTCCTCACAACGAGTTCAAGTACTATCCGCAACTCAGGAGAGCACATTGGCAGAGCAACCCATGCCACCGAGGTTGTAGGATCGTACGTCCTGCGCGCAAACGCTTCTTCCAGCTACATCATGCTACATCCCTCTGACTCCGCAAGTAGAAACCTGCTCCTCTGCTGACATATGCTGACACTATCAAAGAAGAAACAAAAAGTGTTCCGTTCTTTTCCAATGCTGCCTGGCGAAAACCAAACTCATTGCACACGAGCGCGCAAAGCGATGGAGTAGGGCAGAACCTTATCTGCAACAGGAGCGGATCAATCAACGCAAGTTGTGCCAATCAGAAAACTGCAAAACTTCGTCAACTCGCAAGCTAGCTGATGCCATGCAGGTTCTCCTGCACGGTTTCAAATTAAGTTTAATCAAATTTACACACGCTGCCCAAGACAAAGCCTTTCCATAACCAAGAACCAAAGCAAAGAGCAATATCTGCACCATCCTGCGATTACCATAAGCATCCTGCTATCCCAGGGAAACATCCTACTATTGTCATTTACTTCCTACTATTGTCATTTACGATCCTACTATGGCATATCCATCGTCCATCTGTCCACAACATCCTGGTTGCAGCCAGACCGCAGGGAGCAATTGATAATAAGAAAATCGATTTGTTTCGGCTTCACCTGGCACAGTTCGAAGGGAAACTGCTGCAGCTGCAGTGATTGTGCCGCACGCATCCTCTGCGCAGTCACTGGGTGCCCACTGCCCACGCTTTTGGTGTGTTTAATGAGGTCGGACATCGTTTTCGCTGAGTGGGATCCAGCCTGTGTGCGTCTCAGCAAATCTCTCACCAGCGAGAACAGCACCTTGGCCATCAGGGGCAATAAAGGAGACATAGGAAAGCCCACAAAGCAAGGCGCAAACCCACATAAACCATCATAAACCTACCCACAGGATCTGTTCCAGAAATTTCCAGAATCCTGGGTGCATCTGGGTGCGCCTCTTTGGCTTCTTCCCTTGCTGCTGCCATATCACAGGTGGCCTGGCACTTCACAGCCCGTTTCAAGTTGGAACCAATTTTATTCCACACCATGTTGCGCCTCTGTTTGACCATCTCTGGAGTCCAAGATGCCTGGCCAGGAACTGTTAGTTACCATTGGAAAATTGCATCATCATGACATCCAAGGAATTGAAGGCATCAAAACCCTCAAAACAACTCCAAATCGACCTTGGCCACCTGATCCACCTGTTGCTCAAGCGTCTTTTTGTGTAATTGTGTTTCATTGTAGCACCTGAACATACGTGAATCACGACCTGTTTGCAAATGATAGTTCCCGTGCTTATTTTCCAACATAATTATCCCGGCAAGAGACCCAAAACAATCCCAAACAGTGTGGGGAGAGTAAAAAGATCATGTCATGTATTATAACGTTGATGATGTTAATGTTGATGATGATGGTGATGTTCATGAAGATGAGTATGATGATGCTGATGCTGCGGATGCTGCTGATAATGATGATGATGGTGCTGATGATGATGGTGATGATGATGGTGATGATGATGATGATGGTGATGGTGGTGATGATGATGATGATGAGGCGAAGATGAGAAGAGGAAGATGAGAAGAGGAGGATGAGAAGAGGAGGATGAGAAGAGGAAGATGAGAAGAGGAAGATGAGAAGAGGAAGATGAGAAGAGGAAGAGGATGAGAAGAGGAAGAGGATGATGAGAGGAAGATGAGAAGAGGAAGATGATGATGTGGATGTTGAGGGGGAGGAGGAAGATGATGATGTCGAGGAGGATGATGTCGAGGAGGATGATGTTGAGGAGGAAGACCGATCCCAAGACCGGGATGCACACTTTGTGCGAACCTGCGCAGTCGAAATGCACATGGACATGTGACATGTCACAAGAGGCATTTTGATCATTTTGTGCAGAAATTTACAGGGAAAATGCCGCACGCTGCCGGACGCTAATTCCGAGGCAAGCATTTTGTGCGAGCCTGCACAATCGAAATGCACATGGACATGTCACAAGAGGCATTTTGTGCGGAAATTTACAGGGAAAATGCCGGGAACTTCCGATACCACCTGCATTGAACACCGGGCCTTAACACCTACCGTAAGAACCCCTCAGTGTGGACACACTGTTTGGGGAATAAATCAGAATAAGCAACCTTCATATAATATAGTTTTACATTGTTCCAGTCACTTTACAATATATGGTTCAGGGGTTTAATGTTCTCAAGGGTCCAACTTCCTCAAATATGACATAATATGACCTCTCAAAACTTAACCAGCCATGGTTTTACAAATAAGTCTGGGAACATACATAGATTACAAGACCATTTTTGCATGTTTTTGGGAATAAGTCTTATAACCATGTGGTTTTTACCAATGTTTTACAATGTTTTGGCTCACCCGGTGACTCGCCCTATCTCCCCGGCCTGGGGGCCAATGAGTGGACTCGCCAGTGCCCGAGTTCTCCAAAATCCGACGTTGGAAATCCATGGAGGTCTCCTCAGAGATGGACCACATTCTACTGGCTGCTGATGGCAGCTGATGGCTGCTGATTCAATGACGATTGATTAATCTGAAGAATATCATCTACAGGATTCTATAGAATATCATCTATAGAAATATCTGATATTATACCTGTAGAATTCTATAGATGGTATTCTAATATATTCTAATTATTGAGATTCATACTGCTGTGGCATGGCTACAACCTGATTCCGATACCTACAACTATAGATCACTGGCTTCACTAGCTCAATTATGCTCATCTTGTCTTATTATGCCATTCAGTGCTGATCAATGACAACCGCATGATCCAAGGCTCTGTGAAGCAGTTTTGCGCTTCCAACATCTTCAAGATGTCGTGCCTTGTCACCTGGACACGGTGAACCAAGTGAGCCAAGCAGGGGTGAAAGAGTGCAAGCACTCTGGAGCTCGCTGCTACACTGCAGAAACCAACACCACAAAAGAAAAGACCTCCGCACGCTGCATGTGATGGATGTATAGTGATCACATATTGCAATGTAATCTGAAGCTGACAAGAATGCCTTCCAGTGGTCTGGCGGCTTGAAAACCAAGTTCTCCAAACCTAGGTTTCAGACATTTACTGTAAGCGGCACAAACGCGGTTGAAATGCTCAGCTAAGGTCAAAATCCTTGCCTTCTGCCTTCTGCTCAGGCATTTTTAAATCAAAAAATCATACTTCATAACCCCCTTGCCGAGCAACAGTAGACGGAGGATTTGTGCCCGCTCAGGTAGGCAAGAATCAATGCAGATGCGCCAATTACCTGTTCGAAGGTGTGGCATTCTGAACCCTATGCCTCCTTAGCTTCAAGGGACCCGAACTCTGATTAACAGCCAATCAGTGTCATTTGGACATGCGGCGTCGTGAGTACAAAACAGGTATGGCAAGTATCCAAGGTTTCATTATCATCATTTAGCAGGGTGGACCCAAAGAGTTCGACAAAAGCAAGAATTTAGAAGAAAAGGCAAACAGTGGAAGCCAACGGGACAAACAAGAGCGACATCATGCCAGATTCCTTGCGAAGATTTGGGAAGTCTAGAGTATGTTTCCTTCAAAATGAGCTCAGGCATCTAAGTGCACACTGCCCCAAGGCTGGTAGCCCCTGATTTCCAAAGACATGGCTCATCATGGCTCCCGATCCTGCCTGCATCACCAAGGGCTCCCGCAAGAGGTACCATGCCCGTAGAAAATCCTCCAGGCTCCAAACGTACAGCTGCGAGATCATCAAGCTGCCCACCTCGATTTGAAGACAGGTTGCACATGTCATAGCTGGTTTTTTGCCAAGCGCAGGCCAGACAGGCTGAGCGCAGAATCCAACGTAATCATGCAGAAAATACTGTGCCAGGGGGGTGAAACTGATCTCTACCTTGCAGTGCCATGTCAAAAAACGTTAGTGTAGGAGACAAACATGAAATTAGAAACAACTTAAAGATGTCAAGGGGGAGACAAAAGTAATCCCAATACCCACTGTGATATTGGCAGGGCAGGGAGAAAGCCCTTTGCTTTCGGTGATGATTTTCGGTGACGATTTTCGGTGACGATTTGCCACAATTTTCGGTGATGATTTCGGTGACGATTTTCGGTGATGGATCACGAGAAGACTCCAATTCTCTGGCAAGCTAGGTCGTTGACTAGCTGTCTATGCGCAGGATTATCTATGTAAAATGGGTGTGGTTGGTTCAGAGTTTGATAAGCATCATCATATGTTGTTGTTAACCATTGTCGTCGAGGTTTTCCTTGCCGCTTACGAAATTCCAATCTTGGAATTAAAGTTCCCTTTTCAAACAGAACTTGTCTCATAGGGTCACTAGGCGCAGATCTGATAATATGACCAAGAAGGGAAAGTTTGCGTTGTTGCCAAATGGAGGAGAACATTCTTAGGTCCGTGTTCATGTGGTTTCTAATTTGAGATTTGACAAAATCATTTGTTATTGTGCGGTCGATACGTGTGGGGGGTAAATGTAGGATCCTTCGATATCCCTTCAACTGAAAACTATCTATTCTTTTCTGATCTGTCAAATTTAACTGTATGGTTTCTAATCCGTATAACAGCTTACTTCTGAGGATAGAATGAAAAACTGGAACTTTCCATTTGATGGATGTCTTCGCTTTGTTCCAAAAATATTTGAGTTGATTACATGTACGGGTGCAATCAGCAATCCGGTTCATAATCTCTCTGTGGTTGTCCACGGTGTCAGTGAGTAATGTATATACCTAAATAGAAGGCTGACCTTTTTCTCGGGACCGGTGTGCCGTCCAAGTATTTGATGGATGATTGTTTTTGGTTTAGTGTCATAGCTGGTTGGATCTGGAATTTTCTTATTCATAATATGTATTTGATTGAATTCAATGGCTGATTTAAGAAATATATATCTATCTATATATATAAATAGTGTTACCCACTCTATATAATATGTGTATATATATATATTATATATATATGTGCCCCAGGCCCTCCCCCCCTTCTGGGTACCCCCCTCCCCCCCTGTGGTAATGGCTGTGGTGGAAAGGGGGTGGTAGTTATGTAAATTGGTAGTCAACAGATATTAGGTGTATAGTATATAGTATTGGGAATTACATACGGTTGTAAATAATGTATATAGATGTATAGGTATATAGGCATGCAATTGGTAGTATATTAGGTATGTATTAGGTTATACAAGGTATCTATTAGGTGTGTAGTGTTAGGTATGTAGTGTTAGGTTTTCTGTATGTAATATTTAGTAGTGTTAGGTACGTATAGTATATGCTGCAGTAACTTATATATATGTATATATATATGGCGTATATACATATATGTAAATACTATATATTATACGTATATATATTATATACATATGCAATAATCTATGATATTATATCCATCCTGATCTACTCCATATACTCAATGTAATCTAATCTAGTTAATCTAATCTCGGTCCCAGTATCTCCCAGCAATTATCACCCCTTCTTGTGGTGAATCCGGTAGAAAGCCATAGAAAAACCTGGTCTAAGGCACCGTGGCCATAGCAAGACCATAGGTGTAGGGCAAGTACTCCGCCAGAAAGACGTAGCCCCAATTGATGGTCCTGCGACGAAACGACGTGAAGCAATGATATATAAACCAATTACTCTCTGGTTATTTAACATAGCCATGGTATAGATGGCCCATTTATAGATGGTTTACCTACTTAAAATGGTGATTTTCCATGATTATGTTTTAAAAAAAAAGATGGTATTCATCCAATTTAAAATCATTCGTTGATGGTTAAGCAGTCGCTCGGCGTCGGAATAGAGTGGAATGCATTGGCACCAACGGACCATCACGTGAGCTGTCAGCACGACAGCAAAAATCTGACCTGAACCGATCATACCAATGTCCCCGGGAGTCCCATTTTCAGCAGTTCTTCAGTGAGGACATAGGGATGAACCAATGGACGATGGGAAAAAAACCAGGGTTTTTTCCCCATGCTTCCCGTGGAAATCTTCAGAGAAACCCATATGGGTTTCGGGTTTCCCATCGGTTTCCCGGGTTCGCATCTCCTGATTCGAAGCGATTTGGGCTCCCAGTAGTAGACATCTTTGTCCACATGGTCCAGGCTGCTGCCCATACTCACCGATCGCCTCGGCGGCATTGAAGGCAGGGGGATGGGATGATGGGATGCTTGTGCCCGAGCAAAAGGTGGTGTTCAAGGATCAACATGGGTGAAGAATGTCAACATGTCCAAAACAGCCTAAGTAATAACTGAATATAATGCATGGTCATGAATGGTCAAATAAAGTCACAGCGGTTGTTCAGATACTTTGGGCTTCTGCACAAGCCAAAAGGCAACTCCTTTTGTGACAAGTTCAGCTGGTAAAGTGATCGTTTTGCTCATCTTTCGTAGCTGAATGCAGCTAAAGTCACTTGGTTAGCACACCAAAGTCTTGCAGGTCCATGGCAAGTTTGCCTGGAACCGCTCATGCGCGTACAACTGCAAGAGACGAAACTGCAAGGAAAGAAACCACAAACATCGCCATCTTTGGAACAAGGGTGATGGCCAGAAGCAGCCCATGCCTCCCAGAAGTCTCTGGATAATGTTCTCCATGGCCTTGACCGATAAACACCAGCAATGTGGTGCCAAGCGTCTCCCAATCCCAGACCTCGAAGAAAGGCCCGCTATGGCCCGCTGGGGTCGCTGGGATCGGCGGCCAAGGCTTCGGCAGGAGTTGCCAGTCTTGCCCGATGCAAAATGTGCGGTTTTTGAGCTCTGTTCTTGATGCATCTTGATGCTTTTTAGCTGTTGATCTGCTCGAATTTGTGGCGAGGCATGACGTGTGCGGGGAAATTGGAGCACCGCTTGATTGCAGAATAACCCCGCTGCACTTTCATGTGAGAAGCGTTGTCCTCTTGAGCTGCACGCTACAAATACCGAAGGATGCAGGCAATGAACAGGGTTGCAGGTGCAGCAGCTTCAGATGCATCCGTTCAAGTGGGAGAATCTGCAGCAATCTATAGGGCTGTGGTACCTTCTACCTTGGACTGATGTGATCCCATACAGCCCATACACATGTTTCACCACATACCATCCACACCCACCTGGTTTCAGCCAGGTCTCGCTCTTTAAAACCTGCAAGGCCAACGTTGAAGACAAGCTGTTGAACTAACTAAACTAAGATTCGACCCACTATGCAAAAACTTGCAACAACATGACAAGCCACTAGCCAGCCGGTATGGTGGATGATAAAGTTGTTGATGGCATGTTAAATCATGTTATATAAATCTTGATTTGGTCCGCTCGACTTGCTTGTCACCTCAACTGAGGCAGCTACTGTGCACCTTTGCAATCGCCTGGTGACTGAGCGCATCCACCAAGTGCTCACCTGTTTCTCTGCAGCTGATCAAAGGCATAGCATTCAGTGGACAGAGCTGCTTAGCCTCGTCTATCTTGTCTACATTTAGATTCCGTGCAGTTCATAAGTCACAATGCTATACTGCGTGAATGTGCACTCATCATAATCGATCATGCGCAAATCCCTGGCATGTCAATACACTATAGTACTTCTAGTGCTGGAAACGTTTCGAGGGACGGCCTCGGGGGTTAAAATTGGTGCGAGCGTCTTGGAGCCTTGGACTCATCACTGCGAAGCTGGGGTGAGGATCCGACCTCTGAAAAGCAATGTCCCACGCGCCCACGCAATGTTCGAGAGCTCCTTGGCAGGACTCGGATGAGATCAGCTTCCGAATCCTGCAGACTATTGGGCTGCCCCAAAATCAATAGATCCAGGTTTCTTGGTTTCATAGCGTTGTTCATCTGATCTTCAGACCTCTGTAATTAGGAAATTCATGGAAATTCATATAATAAATAAACCGAAACTTTCGGCTTGACCAATCCTGTAGTCAAGAAAAGGGATGTGCATTTCCTATCATTTCCTATATTAATTGGTTCATTATAGCAGCCCTCCATAGCCCACAACCAGAGCTTTCCAGGCCGTCCTGGGGCCGCATGGCCGGCAGCATCTCTGCAGCCCTCCGGCCGAAGGCCGCCAGAAAGGGCGTCCTCGCGAGCGCCAGCGCGGCAAAGGCCTGACCTTTGGCGAACGGCGGGGCAAGGGATGTTGATTTAAGGTGATTTTCTATGATGATTTTTGGTGATTTATGTTGATTGAAACTTTCTGTTGATATTTATGGTGATTTGTTGCTTTGATAGATGATTGATTTATACCGATTGGTTGTTTGGATATTGAGATAGAATGTACCGCAGGTTCTGTAGCTATTTCTTGAGGTACAGTTGAACAATACATAACAGTACCATGCAGTACTATACAGTCCTCACAATTGATTCATGCCCACATGTCACCGCGATCAGGCCATATCAGGCCTCTGTTGGCAAGCCCCTGCGTGGTGAATTCAGACATCATGGCAGTGCACGCAAGGGACACCTGAAGAATCAGCAATTGCTACATTGACTCTTGCTGTCACCAATCAGCACACTGATGGTGGTCCTATGTGGTCGTGCCTTTTCCAAAGCTGGTTACTCTTGATGTAGCATTCTTGCACAGGTCTGCACCAGGTTTGACAGGTCCTGCGGCTTGGAGCACCAAAACGATCCAAAACGTGTACAACGTCAGGTGTCCCATTCCACTCCCCATGGTCCATCCACCATGAATCCATTGTCTATCAGAATCCATTCAGAATCCATTGTCTATAGAGTCTATCGTATTCGAATGTATTCGAAGTCTCTGGTCAGGAGCTATCGCTGCCGCTACAGCCATTGCCGTTGCAAGTTTGCGCCTATTCGCTGGATCCAGGCATCAACGGCACGGCTGCCTATGCGCCGGACAACATTACTAAACAAACGACGTGCAATGAAGTGTAGGAAAAAAAATGGAAGGGAAAAAACGATCCTGACACCATTCAGAGATCGCATCAAACACACTGTGATATATTGTGCCGGTACAAACTGCGCATTCAATTTTTTGCCAGCCACACTTTCAGCGCCATGCTGTGGAGACTTAGAAATCAAAGCCACTTAAGCTTTGAGAACGTTGATTGCTCAATTGGTTCATGACTCGACTCAGTTTATCTTCTCGTTTTCGCTTGCGCCGAGGTTCTTGACCTTGAGATGTTGGACCTGCAGGAGCAGCCTTGGGCGCAGCTTCACCAGCCCTGAGCTCAGTGGGAGTTGCAGCCTTTTCATCCAATCCTTTCGATCCGATTTTGGCCTCTGAGTCCTCCAGATTTGGAGCAACCTCCTGAGCTGAGCTCATGGCTGGGATCTTTGCATCCTTGGGATCCTGCCCCACTTGAATCTCCTTTGTTGTTTGAGCCTGTTGGGCCAATGCCTTTGCCTTAGCCCTCTGTCGCTTTGCAGCTCTGGCAGCGTTTTTGGCTTCTTCGGCAGCAGCAGCTTGTCTCTTCTGTGCCACAGTTCGAAAAACCGCATGGCTTCCATGGCTGCCATGGCCGGAATTCGGCGACTGTGGCGTGATCTTTTGCCTTCGTCGTTTGGGCAAAGGAATGCGACGACGGTGACGACACACTCCACAAGAGTACTGGACGTATCTCTTGGCTGCCTTTGTCTTGGCCTTTGGGTCTGGCTTTGCTGTCTCCATGCCACCTTTCGGCTCGCCGCCTTTACCTGGGGAGGATTTTGGCTTTGATGGCGTCAGCTCATTCAAAGCTCTTTTAGTCTTCTTTCGTGGTTTCTTTCTGCGGGGCCGTGGCCGCGTGGAAACACGGCAGTTGCAGCCTGGAACATAGGCTTGAGAGCATCTGGGACAAAAGAGTTGTTCAGTGCTTGGGTGCAGCAACACTTTGGAGCTTTTTGCATAGTTCTTCAACCTTCGCCCCAGTGATCTGGACACCGCAGGTGCAAGAATGGCATACTGTGTAGCTGCTTGGCAAAGGAAGCGCAGGGTACGGTCTTGACATTGTTCAGCGTCAAGCATGTCTGGGAAAACCCTGCATCAAACCTCAAGTTCCTGTTTGAGTAAACCTGGAGGAAAACAATTCGCTCAACTGATCTTCAGCAAGAACATGCAAACATCTCCACACAAAGACAGTACGCCACGCTGAATTTAGGTGTTTTAAAATGTCTTAATAATGAGCTGTAAGCATCATTCTTTCGCATCCACGGTCTGTCTCAACACAGTCACAGACTTGAAGTGCCAGCCGGCACATAAACCATAAATATATAGCACTTACAATTATCATCATGGTGCGCAGTGATGTGCACTTGGCTTGAGCCAAGAGCGTGAGACATATAGTGAAGCAAATGACTTCTATGTCATGGAGTGAAGGCATGACTCTTAGTCTTGTAATCAAGCTTATCAGAAACAAAGGACTCAGGCCACTCTTACAGAAAAACATGACAAACCACAGCCCATCAGTCGTTGTATTTCGATGTCCTTAGGATGCGACCTGAATTAAGGAGGCAAACAACGGAAGGTCACAGCGCCTCAGAACCAAAAAAATGCAGCTGACACATCTGACATGATGAATCCAGAGACAGCGCATTGCCAACGGAAACGTGACCAAAGTGATGGCAGGCGACAACGACTGGAGCCATGTCGGAAAAATATATGATCATATATGGCCATGTGACATCCACGCAATCGACCAAAGCGTGCTCGCGATGGAACGAGGAGTCCAGGTGTTGCAAACCTGAGCAAAGTTCTGCAGGGATCTCTGATGATCTCTGTGCCAGTGGGGCTATGCGGACTATGCGGACTGTGGTCCCACCCTCGAGCCTCAGCAGCAGTCACCAAAGCCTGCAGATGGTGTAGATCTGAATAGATCTGATCTGTCAAATGCACTTTGGAAGGATATCATGGGAAAAAATCATTCATGGGAACCGCTTGCAAAAGAAAGAAAATCAGAACATAATAACATAATGGTTAAAGTTAGTAAAGAAGCACATCACTAGCTCCAATGAGTTTCATGATGTTCCCTGATTTCCCTTCCTTTTCTCAGCGTGTCGTGTGCCTGAAAGGCCTGTCTGCCAGCAATGCTTGCATCCTCCACATGCCGAGGACATCGGATAATGGGACAATAACAAACATAGCCCCTGGTCAGAACAAACGATACATGGATTTTAGTCATTCCACCATCAATAAGGATACCATATTTCTTGTAATTACTGGCCATGATCCAACTTTTTTGAAGATGGCAAATTTAAATCTTAATGTGCGTCCAAAGGATTCCATGAGGGCGACGAATGAAAGACATTGTCAAGGCACTGTTTCCAGGCTGCTGCTTGCATCTCTGATCATATTTGCCGTTTACGGTCGGTGGACATGCTATTAATGCACATTGTGAATTTTTGACATAACATCATATGGCAGTGTGTCAAAACCTTTTACCCCTGGTGAACATCAAAATAGCTGGTAAATGGATGTTCATCCCATTAAAAATGGTATTAATAGGTATTGATCCATACCCATATCGATGTCTACACACTTGGGCGAGCCTCTAAGCTCCAAACATGTTTGCTTCATCCTCTCAATGAATAATTGCGGCGATTTTGCGGCGGTCCCTCTCAACACTGAAACTGAGTTGCGCGCTTCACATCGTGCCAGCTTGTAGAAAGCAGAAGCTATTTGGATGGAGTTGAACTCGCTCAGAGACCTTCCATCGTGGACCCGCATTCTGCAGGGAGTTATGGCAGTTATGGTTCCATGGTTTCCTACCTACAAACGTGCTCAAGAGAATTGCACGCATGGATCCTTCAACGCTTCCTCACCAGGGTCGACAACTATTAGTGCCCTTACTTGGCCTGGCACAGAAGTCCAAGATCTCTTCTGCAGATTTCAAACCTGCCAGTTGCCTGCAACATGGACGACACGACGCAAAGTTTGGTCAAATCTGATCGCTGGAAGCAGTGCACGAGCGTGATCTCTTCTGCCTTTCTGCTGCGATATGTTACAACTTTCTGTCCTTACAGGTGGCACTGTGACTCTGAGTGCTTCAAAAAACGACACAAAACCGAATCAATTGGAGTGACCCTTTTTGTGCGCGCTGTGGCGTTGCAAAATCCTGTAACTGACGCTGGTAGCTTCTGAATGAGTCAACATATAGGTACTGGCTCCATGGTGCCGTTAACACTTAACACCAAACTCAGATCATCAAGTCTTCACAGTCAATGGATTCAATAGAAGAAATGCGGGATTCCCACATCCAAATTCATGAGTTTCGTGTAGATTCCATTCAAATTTCAACCAAAGACATCACGCTCTTGTCATTCGTACCTGCTCAGCTGACCGCTTGCCGCATGCAGCCGCACCCGGCGAAAAGGACGTGAGGTGGCCTACACCATTCCCATTTTTGTTGGGGAAAGGATGATCAAACTTGGGAATTTGGGGGTATCCATGACACATGGGGTCATGGGGATCATATCCTCCAAGCATCTCCAAGCATCAGACATGGCACCATGTCCAAAAGCCCCTTTTTCGCAACTGACAATGTGACCCTATCCGACCAGATCACAGAGGGAATTACCAGGTGACTGATCAAGACTAATCAATTCGTGACAAATCAGTTGAAGCGTCCACTATGGTCATTGCTGAAGTCATTGCTGCAAACATGTCTACAATTCATCATGCGCAGTCGTTGGCATCCCTCCCGCCTCGTGTCAGAATAATGTACTAAGTACTTCATCAGCAGTTTTATTCCAACTAATGTGGCGGTTCAATCCCAACCTAAACCATCCGCAATTTCACCAGACATGGATATAAATAAACAAATAAATAAATGTAATATTATATTATATATATATATAAGTATTAATATGTATTACAGTAACAATCAAAAAAAACGTGGTCAATTCGTGGGTTTACAGCACTATGGAACATGCTGCAACATTGATGTCACGCCTTCTGTTGCCAAGCCAGCAGCACTGCGGCAACGGCTCCTGAAGGTTAGGAAGCAGTGTTCGGAGTACATCTTGTGCATGCTACCAAGCAAAAAAGGGTCGCATGGGCATGAGATTTGACGTTGATGTCATTTTTTTTGTTCACAGGTAATTGCTGATAAATGCCGTAAAATATGGTCAAGAATTGATGGAATTGTAATAATTATATAAGTCGAGCCGTTGCTAGCTGGACTTCCAAATGCCTACATAGACCTGTAGATATGCCTCGTGACCACAATGCAAATGCCCTGTCCTCCATTCCAAAAAGTATGCCCTACAGGCAAGAAACTTGACCTGCTGGCATTGTCCGCATTCATTTGGGTGTCTGAGTACAACCAAAATTCAGCAAGTGTGATCAAATGGCAGTGTGTCAAAACCTTGTACCCCTGGTGAACATCAAAATAGCTGGTAAATGGATGTTCATCCCACTAAAATTGATAGTAATAGGTTTTGACCCACCCCCAAATGATTTCCAGTGTGTTAACCACAGGATTTTGGGGTATCCCATTTTCGGACACATCTGTTCGTCACACTATGTTCATGCAAGTTCTATCATTTTCTGGGGTCATCTCGGGATGCTTTGGGCCTTTAGGCCAAAGGCCAAATGGCCGGCGGAATGCTGAAGGCTTTTAAATATTGCAAGTTCTGTTCTTGTAAAATCATAACGGACATACATTAACATACTAAAAAAGCTCAAAGGCCGCTCCCATGTGGTCGGGCGGGATGGCACGGATTGGCCTCTAGGCTGGGTTTGGTGGTCTTCCTTGTGGGGCGGTGGCAGCCAGCATTGTGACGTGCAACGCGCTGTGTATTGCAAAGCTTGTCTGAAGCCTCTTCCTGCAGTCCATGCATTGTTCCACTTTATGATCTTTGTGATTAGAATCGTGTCTCGAATAGTCACACTGGCATTGGTGACATACTGTTCTGCATGGATCTTGCAATAGCATTCTAAATATCAGCAGCTGGTTCGAGCCTCAAGCTCTGGCACAAGTGACACTTGATGCACCACCATTGTGCCCTCACTGGGCACCATCAATGGCCTGCATAAACTTTCTTTGCCAAGAGGCCTCATTAGAATCTGAATGTTGCCTCAAAGTTAAAGGATAAAGGACCCGAAAGTAAGTGAAAGGCCTCCACTGCAACTGGCACTCCTACATGTTTCAAGACCACTATGGACCATGGAAACCCACAGGCCGACTGCATGTTGCTTTTCCAAATTGCACCAACTTCAAACAGATTTAAGCGCTGCATCTGCACGGGCATCATCCTGAGCGATTTGCTCCGAACGCTCAGGATGCTCAGGGACCTTGCCTACAAAAATCCTCAAAGCCCCTGACATCAAAAAAAAAGCCAAAATCCTGCCTTTGAAAATCACGGCATGCGTACAAAGCGGACTCCACATGGCAAAGAGTGGGAGTGTGTGGGACCACAGCTTCAATGTCCCTACCAGTAGTTTCGACCTCGTTCTTGTATTGAAAGAGCCTCCTTTTGATCTTCCCAGCTCCTGCAAAGTTTGTTCTCAGGCAGTCATCAGGTGCCGCTGCTGAAATGGCCTGACCGCTGTCGATTATCTTGCAGGAATCATCGTCAAAGTCATCGGGATCAGGTTTGTCCGAGACCTGCCAGGCTGCTTCTCGCATGCAGCTGTTGAGTTTTTGTCTCTTTGGAGGTTGACCACACTGTTTCATCCCTTTCCTTCTCTGTATTTGTCTCTTCCCTGAACCAACCTTTGCTCAGCCCTTCCTCGCGGATGTCGGGGTTCTTTTCCAAGAAATCTGACACAACCTGGTCAGTCTTTTTGGGTACAGTATTGTTTTGAGTTTCTGCAGCTGTTGTTCAAAGCAGCCGTGGGTCCCAGAATGACACGAACGCAATGAAGGCGGGTACGGGTACAGTGTACAAATGTTGTAGGAGCTTACATCAGCGGATGTACATCTGTACCCTTCATTGCGTTCGTGTCATGTGAGACAAGTTGGGTCTGCTCCGGGATCAGTACTGAGTTGCACATGTTCACGGCTGGACCAGTTCAACACATTGAACTCAGTACCCATAGGATCCATGTATGGTATATATGCTAACATTTGGGGTATATTGATGGTAAATGTTCACATATATGGCATACATGGATCCTATGGGGTATAATTCAGTGCAACATTCCTCAAGCCACGAAACCTTCTCCCCTTGGGTGAAGAAGGGCCATGCCATGCAGCTGCGATTGTTCCAACCACAGGCCCGCCCACAACAGCCCAAGATCTCTGCCTCCAACTTGCGCACCACTCGATCGGCGCAGCTTTGCTCCAAGGGCAAAGCAATTATGAGGATGTCCATTTGGACCATTGTCGCCGTGTTCTTGGTGGTTTCTTTGACAATTTCTTCACATAAGTCTTTCTGCAAACATGCTTCAATACGTGATGATGGCTTCCAACGGAGTCCCTCACCAACGGGTCCAGGTGCCCTAATCCATTTGTTCCGGGGTGCTCAGATAGCAGCTAAGCACAGCTGCGTCGGTGTACCAAGTTCCACTTCGTTCCACTGTGCCTGTGAGAACCTCTTTCCAAGCTCAGGTGTCAACTCAGAGCTGAAACCAAAGAATTCTTTGGCACTTGCTGGGGGTCGTCCTGGTTGTCTCGCCTGCATCTGCAAGTCATTGAACTTTTGGGTCGCTGCATCCACGAAGGAAGTGCAGAACTTGAGAGCTGAAACTGTGACCGGGACCGAGCGAGTCTTAGACTTTGTGACGGCATCGCGGCAACGACAGGTCTGAGGATCCGCTCCTACCAATGAAAACATCCGTGGGCGAATTTCGCCACAACCTTTCGATGGAGAGTCTCTATCTTTGCACTCACACCACTGCTTGTCCATGTTGGCCTTGAAAGTCCTGGCTGCATATTTCAAGCAGGGATCCTCACATTTGCATGTCTGATCAACCCCCTTCAAAGGGAAGATGTTGCCGGTGCCACCAAATGGATCCTCCCAAGGCCAAGTCTCTGAAGCCCTTGGCTCCAGCCCGGGCGGAGCCGCCTCAGAAGTGCGGCTCAAATCGCTAACGATGAAAATGAACACCAAAAAACGTACGCGTTGCCGGCAGCACATTGCTCCGGCCCGGGATGCCCTTTAGAATTTTGTGCCAGCATGTAGCAGTGCCGGCGAATTCCCGAATGGATCGCAGGAGATGATGATGATGATGATGATGAGGATGATGATGATGATGATGATGATGATGGTGATGAGGATGATGATGATGATGATGATGATGATGATGAGGATGATGATGATGATGATGATGATGATGATGATGATGATGATGACGATGAGGATGATGATGATGATGATGCTGATGATGATGATGATGAGGATAATGATGCTGATGCTGATGCTGATGATGATGATGATGACGATGAGGATGATGAGGATGATGATGATGATGATGATGATGATGATGATGATGATGATGGTGATGAGGATGATGATGATGATGATGATGATGAGGAGGAGGAGGATGCTGCTGATGATGATGATGATGATGATGAGGAGGAGGATAATGATGATGATGATGATGATGATGATGATGATGATGAGGATGATGATGATGATGATGATGAGGAGGATGATGATGATGATGATGATGAGGATGATGAGGATGAGGATGATGATGATGATGATGAGGATGGTGATGGTGATGGTGATGGTGATGATGATGATGATGATGATGATGATGATGATGATGACGATGACGACGACTACGATGGCCTACTCGCTTCACACAGCTGGTTTGTCTTGTTCAACTCAACCACCCAAAAAAAAGACTTCCTGAAAAAAACCACGCGAATGATTCGGCAGCACAACGGCCAATCCACTTTCAACAGTTTTTCCTGTTGACGGATTCGATTGCCTTTGCGTGGCTTTTGCAACCAAATGGACATGATCCAGCAACCAATTTGTGCCAGCAAGTGAGCTGCACTTGAAATTAGTCTGGAAACTACACGGTGGGAGGCTGGCGAGGAAGTTCTTGTCGCTTTGTTGCAACCCTTCCTTCAGTGTCCAAGATGTCTATGTGTCCGTCTGCCTACCCCTCCTTTGCAACCTACAGCTAGTATATACATACGGTATAGATAGGATTCGTCGGAATTTATCAGGTGTGGTTACCATTCCCTGCCAAATACTATGTATATATGCATATATCATATTATATATATAATATTATAGATCTATCTGCCTAGGTAGAATAGACTTGTCTTAAAGCAATGAATATGGGAATCGTGCGTGTCACAGGTTGCAACTCTTTGCCAGTCCACTGGGCATTGTAAATTGGCATGCTGCCTTAGAAATCTTCAAGTCACCCCTCTTTGGTATATGCTAGTTTTCCTTTCATCTTCCAATATCCTTCATCTATGAATATTCTATGAATATCATCTATGAAATAGGTGGTTCCCATTGCCAGGTTGGATTGCCTAGCATGATGATAAAGTATGGAACGTCGCCATTTTGTTCGATGATTGTCCCATTTCAAAGCAGGGATTTTCCAGCTAGTCATGTTAGATTACAAGGATTCGCAAAGAGCCATGGGCCATGACTGTCATGCGATTCGGGGAATGATACGACCATAGCACCATTCACAGCAGCTCCTTACCTGATAATCCCTTCGACCTAACAGTACCCCGCAGAAACCCTGGTGGATGCAGGGGATGAAACCACATACTTGGGACATCTTGGGGCCATGGGTGTTCAATGTGGGGGATGGGATCAGTTGAGGCTTGTCACCATTAGTTCCTGGATCCTGACTTCATGCGACCCCGAAGGCAAGGGGACTGTGGCACGAAGCCGTCTACCGGGCCAGGCACCAACTTTGATGGTTCGAAGATGGCCAGATTCAATAAGTTTGTTGAAAAGAATACTGGAGGCCTCGGATTTGTTCCATGAAATCTAAATTAAAACCTGCATCTCTTCCCAAAAATCATAAAATCCAAGTCTGGGACATATTGATTCTATTTTTATCCTATAGTTCGATCCCATTTTTTTGCTGGAAAAATTGCTAGTTTTTTTGGTGCTCAACTCTCAATTTGAAAGCCTGTTTCCCTCTGGTATTCTAACTTGGCTGGCTGTAAACACCCCGTGTAAACCAATAGGAAACCGTCACAAATGATCTTCTGCCAATCGGCGCTGGTCCACTGCCGGGTCAGTCTCCCAAAGGGAGGAACTCTATCACCAGGGAGTAGCACATATCCCAAGTATTCCCAAGTCTTGCATCCATTCTGCTTGACAAAAGTACAAACCGCGCCCCTGGTCCTTCAACTTTCAACAACATGCTGCGCCATCTAAGCAGGTGCCGGCGCCCCATTCTGAAACACAGCGCAGACCACGTTGGTCAGCTGCCTACGGGTATCTAGCGGTGACTCCATCTGGGAACAGCGCTGGTTTAGATGATAAATTTTCATTTTGTTTCCCCTGATTTTAATCCGCCGACCCCTGCCTTCGCCAAAGCAGGGGCGGCGCCTGGGACCACCGGAGGTGTGGAACCTGTTTTTGTCGGCTTACAACGCTTAAAAATCTTCTTGGCGCGCCCAACCCTGCAGGCAACAGGCACCCCAAGGCCAGATCAATGGCTTCTCATGGGCGTTCAAGCCTGCCGTTTGCGGGCCTTTCAACGCTTAAAACGCTTCAAAACCTTCTTGGCACGCACAACCCCGCAGGCACAAGCTACCCCAAGGCCACATCAATGGCTTCTTATGGGCGTTCAAGCCTGCTGCTTGCCAGGCCTTAAACCCTTACAACGCTTAATAATCTTCTTGGCACGCCCAACCCCGCAGGCAACAGGCACCCCATGAAGGCCACATCAATGCCTTCTTATGGGCGTTCAAGCCTGCCGTTTGCCAAGCCTTAAACCCTTAAAACCCTTACAACGCTGCAAAATCCTCTTGCTACGCCCAACCCCGCAGGCACAAGCTACCCCAAGGCCACATCAATGGCTTCTTTTGGGCGTTCAAGCCTGCCGCTTGCCAGGCCTTAAACCCTTAAAACCCTTACAACGCCGCAAAATCCTCTTGCTACGCCCAACCCTGCAGGCACAAGCTACCCCACGGCCACATCAATGGCTTCTTATGGGCGTTCAAGCCTGCCGCTTGCCAGGCCTTAAACCCTAAAACCCTTACAACGCTTCAAACTCTTCTTGGCACGCCCAACCCCGCAGGCAACAGGCACCCCAAGGCCACATGAATGGCTTCTTATGGGCGTTCAAGCCTGCCGTTTGCCAGGCCTTAAACCCTTAAAACCCTTACAACGCTGCAAAATCCTCTTGCTCTGCCCAACCCTGCAGGCACAAGCTACCCCACGGCCACATCAATGGCTTCTTATGGGCGTTCAAGCCTGCCGTTTGCCAGGCCTTAAACGCTTAAAACCCTTACAACGCTGCAAAATCCTCTTGCTCTGCCCAACCCTGCAGGCACAAGCTACCCCAAGGCCACAACAATGGCTTCTTATGGGCGTTCAAGCCTGCCGTTTGCCAGGCCTTCAACCCTTAAAACCCTTACAACGCTGCAAAATCCTCTTGCTACGCCCAACCCCGCAGGCACAAGCTACCCCAAGGCCAGGCACGAGCTACACCAACGCCACATCAATGGCTTCCTATGGGCGTCCAAGCCTGCCGTTTGCCAGGCCAAACGCTTAAAACCCTTACAACGCTGCAAAATCCTCTTGCTACGCCCAACCCCGCACGATCCCGCAGGCACAAGCTACCCCAAGGCCACATCAATGGCTTCTTTTGGGCGTTCAAGCCTGCCGTTCGCCAGGCCTTTAAATCCCTTACAACGCTGCAAAATCCTCTTGCTCCGCCCAACCCCACAGGCACAAGCTGCCTCAGGGCCACATCAATGGCTTCTTATGGGCGTTCAAGCCTGCCGTTTGCCAGGCCTTAAACCCTTAAAACCCTTACAACGCTTCAACTTTTCAGCGCTGCAAAATCAACTTGCTACGCCCAACCCCGCAGGCACAAGCTACCCCAAGGCCACATCAATGGCTTCTTTTGGGCGTTCAAGCCTGCCGCTTGCCAGGCCTTAAACCCTTAAAACCCTTACAACGCCGCAAAATCCTCTTGCTACGCCCAACCCTGCAGGCACAAGCTACCCCACGGCCACATCAATGGCTTCTTATGGGCGTTCAAGCCTGCCGTTTGCCAGGCCTTAAACCCTTAAAACCCTTACAACGCTTCAAAATCTTCTTGGCACGCCCAACCCCGCAGGCAACAGGCACCCCAAGGCCAGATCAATGGCTTCTCATGGGCGTTCAAGCTTGCCGTTAGGCAGCCTTTCAACATCAAAACGCTTAAAAATCTTCTTGGCACGCCTAAGCTGCGGGGTTAGCATGCCAAGAGGATGTTTAAGCGTTTGAAGGGTTTTAAGCGTTAAAAGGCTGGCAAACGACAGGCTTGAGCGCCTATAAGAAGCCATTGATCTGGCCTTGGCAGGCACCCCACGGCCACATCAATGGCTTCTTCAACGCCACCAAGATGTCCATGGACAAAGTGGCCCTCAAAAGACGGCTGCGGGGAACATGCACATGTTACCGACCCCCCCACTAAGGAGGGGTCGGCGGCACCAGGGCGCTAGCCCATTCTATAATGTGAAGGTTATATACAATATGATTACAGGTCATTGATATTACTTGAAAATATAGTATACCTACTACATTGGTTTAATAAATTCAACCAATGTTCACAATATCTGCAGGCCGTGGCAAAAAATTGTGCTGTGTGCTGGCCGAAATGCTGTCCACTTTCGCTGGTTGTATTTGGTTGGAAAAAATGATCATGAGAATCATATCATGGTCAAACTATGCCATGAAAATGTCATGAACATGGACAAGTGATGTCAAATAATGTCAAATGTCAGTGGTTTATCCTTCTTGTAGCAAACTCTAGCAAACTCTGATGGGCTGAAGTCTTGTCCTCACAGCTGCCCTGTTGACATTGGTTGGTTCCCTCAGCCAGAGAGCTCGCGCACGCAGGCCTCCAACAAGAGCCCATGGATATGCCATCGAGAGAAAAAAACAAATAATTGGTCAGAGGGAATGTCGAGTTATGCCAGCTATATAGTTATGCAAATGGAATGGAAATGGATCTCTACCTGGGGGAAAGTTTCCGCAAACAATGGTGTCATAATTTCTGTCATGTTTTGGCCGATGCACTGTTCACCTTTTGCCTGGTTATCCTGGTTGATTTATGCATAGGCAATGGGAAAAAAGGATGTTCACCCTACTTTGTGCATAATATGCACCACATGTCAGTCATGCAATGATGTGCAATTTTGTTTCTGAAAGGCTGGCTTGCCAAACCCCCGGCAGCTGGCGCCAAAGAATTTTCACGATGTGCTGGACTCATTGCTATCCGAATCTGGGCTGGAACTGACTTTCTCCATGGTCGCACCTCTAAAGTTCCACGACAGCCATAAGTTTTGCCCAAGCATCAGAAGTGCCAGCGCGCAAATCGCCATGATGACAGGAAACCAGATTAACAAGAAGACTACCTGGGCCCCAAAAACTCTCTGTCACAACATCAGATTCAAAGGGAACATATTTAGGCCCCGAGGCGTGATAATTTAGCAGCAAGGGATACGAACGGACAGATCTGTCAGACTGGTGCAGCTTCAGCTGGGGGGCGGGCGCCGCCGCCAAAAGTGCGCAGGAATGTGGTAATTTGCGCAGTTTGCAGATCGGCCATCGTCCAGATGGACCGTTTCGATCCGACATGGCTGCAGCATCGGCTCCATTTGGGGTCACCTTCGGCAACAAGGCCCCAACTTGGGCCCAACGGACCCACTTGGCCAACTTGGCCCCAAATTGGACCCGTTTGGGAGCAACCTCGGCCCAAGTTGAGGTCCATGACATAATATCGCTTCAAATTGGGGACATATGCCGGCCCAATCCGAAATCCTCCCAAATGCCGTTTTTCAATTTTCCATTTTTTTTCGCTAGCAATGTTCCCCATGTTGTGTCTCCGTTGGGCCTG